CTGCAGACCCTCCTCATTGCCGTGCCCAGGTACGCGCATATCCTTCACGTCATTTGCTGCCGCGTTCTGACACCATCGGCCAGGACCCTGGTCAAGGAGTGGAATCAGAAGTACGAGCGCCTCTCGTCGATGGTTGTCCCCCGCTCGTCCCAGCTTATCGCACAGGACGACGAGTATGCGCTCTTCGCTGTGGTCATCTTCAAGAAAGTCTTTGATGAGTTCATACAGAAATGCAGGGAGAACAAGTGCGTTCATCCGGAGTGTCTCGCGCTTTCCTTCTAAACACTTTGTTCAATGCTATAGGTACATTGTGCGCGACTTTACGTTCTCTGAGGACCTGCTCGAGAAGCAACGCGAGGAGCTCGAAGTAGCAGACACAGCGGAGAAGGAGCTTTGGGTACGTCTGTCTTCATTCTTTCCAGCCGCTCACAGCTTTGCGGTCTCTGCTCACTACATCCTTTCCTTGTGCATTTCCCTCGGTCCGAACTTGACCTGATTCACATATGATCTCTCCATCTCCCTTTACCTGTTGCAACAAAACAGACAGAGCTCCTGCAGCTTTCGCGAACGAACTTCTCGGAGGCATTTCAAATATTAGTGCATCTAAAAGTGTTGCGCCTATACGTGGAGAGCGTGCTACGATACGGGCTACCCGCGTCGTATATCGGGTTCTTCGTCAAGGTACGCCCCCGCTCGCGTCTTCGTCTCATCTATCCTCACTGATGTGCCCCCGCGCACACGTGCAGCCCGAGCCAAAAGCGACGAAGCGCACGCTCGCGACGCTCCAGCAGACGTTTGCCTACCTCGCGCGGAGGTCGAACCCGAGCACGGCCACGGGCAAGGGAAAGCCAAAGGTCTCGTCGGGCGTGGGAGGGGAGGACTTTGCGGGTGAATACCAGGCTGTGCTGGAGCAGGAGTACTTTGACTTCGTGCTGTTTGAGGTACCGTGGATCGTACTATAGTGCGTTTAGTGTAGGATGGACGGACAGTGTCACGAATACCCTATCAGATGAGATAGACTGAATTCACGTTCATATTGTATGGTCAGAGACCCTAACCCGAGGGGGCACGCCATAGGGCAAGTCGGTGATGCATTTACTCTCATCGTTCGGCCGCTGTTCCAGTGCCTGCGCGGCTCGCATCCGACCTCTCACGTCGTGCATGTTTCTCAGCACTCGACGTCTTTCCTGCACATTATAAGGAGGGCTCATTGACTGGTTGGACGTTCCCCCCTCAAGTTGTTCGTGCTCCCCAGGCTTGCCAGTGAATTCGGAAATCTTACTCGATCATGAGCCTGGCCTTGATCACTGCTGCTGCGACTGGGCGGACGCTCGCCCGCACGGGCGCGCGCACTGCAAGAAGTGCGTTGGACGGGGCTGCTAAGCGTCATATATCTACACAGCCTACGCCGTCTTCCTTCACGTTGAAAGCCAGCACGATCGTTGTGCGGAATCGCACACCGCTCTTTGCAGGACGGTGTGCATGGGCCTCCATACCCTCGCTACCCTCCACAGGTTATCAATCACGGCGGTACGCGACACCGCCGCCGCAGGTAGTACACAGGTGCGTTTCTCCATCCTGTATGCCGCCCACTTCCGTTTCCGCCCTCGTTTCGTTAGGATGGAGCTAATCGGTGTACCCGCGTAGCGACTTGCCGATGGAGAGATATCACGCGTATGCAGACGCGACGATGGACCGCATGCTTGAGTCGCTCGAGGAGCTGCTTGACACGGTGACGGATCCGGAGTATGAAGTGGAGTATAGTGTGAGTGGTTTGCGATGTCTCGACTGGCGAATGGGGACCTTGCCGCCTCTGATCCCTCTCCCTCCCTTCCCCCCACCTTCTATCCGATGTCGTCGCCCCGTGCTTGCTTGTGTGTATAATACTGATTATCGGCTACTTTTACATAGAGCGGCGTCCTGACGCTGAAGCTCGGCGAGAACAGGACCTACGTGATCAACAAGCAGCCGCCGAACAAGCAGATCTGGCTCTCCTCACCTATCAGGTGCGACCATTTCTTTCTCTCTTCCATACAGTGCTTATAGTCAGCATGTCACAACAGCGGCCCGAAGCGGTACGACTACGTGGAATCCGCGGACGACTGGGTGTATGACCGGGACGGGCGCACAATGGGCGAGCTGCTCGACCGGGAGCTGAGCGCTGCGTTCGGACGTGAGGTCAGTCTGGGGCTCACCAGGGTGAGCAAGCTGGATGCATGACGCGCCACTTCGAGCGCCGTCGCCTCATACTCGGACGTCTGCGGTGACTGTTCTCATATGGGAGATGAACGTGGAGAAGGGTGGGGGCGCGCGACACCCTTGGACGCTGAGAGCGGCTGCGTTTGGGCGGTTTGACTAGGTGCTTCTTCCTTGTCCCGTTGCTCGGCTAAACGGACGGAGCTCGCTGGGAAGCATGGTCGCTTTCGGGGAAGTTGCGGAGGAGGTGTGGTTTAGCTGATCGGATGCTAGTACGTGTAAGCGTTCATTAGTTATTAGCGTGGTGTCGGCGTTCGCGTTCGCTGCGTCGGGGCGGCTACTGTAGTCGTGCATGGGAGAATTTAGTACTGACAGGTAGCCTTACTGACCCTTGAGCTTCCTATGATGCTTTGTTGTTTTGTAATGGCGCTTCATCAGCGATGAGAGCTGCGGGGCGCTGAACTCGGAACAAAGGTAGTCTCACTTTCTTCCATTCGTGGAAACACCGTTCAGATGAGGATGAGACCAGAGACGGTCTTCGATTTATGGGACGGCATGCATATCGTATGGTACGTGGAATGCAGTGTATGCGAAATGATAGAAAGGGCGGTGATGTACATAATGCAGTAACGTGGACAATGGTAGTAGGAAGCGATGCGACGTGCGATGCAGATGCGAATGAATGCCAACGATGAGCAAGAAGCAGTGGCAGAATGGAGGGACATAAACAAGTCAGGCAGAATTTATGTACTATTATTGCGTGGAAAGCGGCATTGAGTGAGAAGTGGCGGGTGAAAAGCGGATCAATGCACTCACAGCTCCTGTACTCTCTTGCGCATGTTGCGCATCCAGCTTGTGCTTCCGGCTAAGAAAGAGAGAGCCAAGTATTCTGGGAACGAAAAAGTGAGTGAGCGAGATGTGGCCCGGCATTTGGAGCGAGCTCACCTATTGGTATCCTCGTAGCGTTGGGTGACGTTCTGGACCTCAAGCTCATCTATCGACGGAGTCATCGTGAGGAGGGTAGAAGCTTTGTCAGGAACGTAATCAGATGAATGTTTCATCAACGATTCGTGTGGTGCATTTCGGATGTTTGGTGCATTCGTCGAGAATAATGGTGATTGACGTGATGGTTGTGGTAAGTGCGGTTCGTGGGACGACAAGGAGGTGCCGCACGTAGGCGCAGTCGGGGAGGAAAAAATCATGCGATGTCTCTGTTCTGCATGCAAGTCGTGCAGCAAGGTATTGGCAGCCTTATACAGCCCCGCCTCCTCCTGCCACTGCGCCTTTCCCTGTGCATGTTCTGAGCGGTGCCGCTCCTCATGGACATCCTCTTCTTCGTCGACATCCCCATCATCATGTGCCTCGCGGTCGAAGCGACCCTTCGGCAAGACGTCGTCGCGTGAATGCGCGAAGTACCGTCGGCGCTTAGCCAACCGCTCGAGGAGGTCGTGGTCCAGTGCGGGCTCGGACGAGAATGCAGCATCCGGAGAGGGACCGGGCGACGTTGGCCGTTGTCGCTTGAGCATTGGAGCTGCGGGACCCTGAAGAGGAAAAGGCAAGAATGCGCAAGAGGTTGCTCCTGAGGGCTGAGAGGAGGATAGCCACACGCGGACGCCAGAACTTTGGCGTGACGCGCTCTTCGACGCGTCCCGAGAGAGCGCGCATCAGTCATCAGTCACGCTTTATGTAAGCGCATTGGCTACTCTTGGGCTATCTCTCTCTGTTGCATTCTCGTTCAATATTCTCTGTCACACTGCCGCTCATCCTTCCTGCAGATCAACATGGTCGACACGGATGTGTTCGCAGCGATGGGCATTTCCGGCTTTGGAAAGAAGTCAAAGCAGAGACAGCTCGACCCAAACCGCTTCGAGAAGAACAAACGTGGAGAGGTGAGCGGATGTCTCAGTCCTACTGTACATTGCTTCTAATCCGCATTATCCCCCAAGACAATGGGATCCTCAACAGCGGCTCAGAGGAAGGAAGAAGACGAGACTGCTCCTGCTCCGGCAAGCACGCCGTATGTTAAGGTGCAGCCTGCTCTATCGCCCTCACCAGCAGAATCAGAGTTCGATGTGGACGACATTGGCCCTCCGCCCCCTCCTCCGGAAATCCACGCAGACCAGAATCAAGAAGGAGAGCCTGAATTTGACGTTTCGGACGACGAAGACGACGACACCCCCCAATTCCCCATCACTCACGAACTATTGCTGAAAGATCATACGAAGGTCGTGTCTGCCTTGACTCTCGATCCATCAGGAGCGCGGGTGTTGTCGGGCTCGCACGACTATGATTGTAAGCTGTGGGACTTTGGTGGGATGGACTGGAGGTGTAAGCCATTCAAAACTTGGGAGCCCGCGGGTACTTACTACGTATGTCGTACTCTCTCCCTCAGGGCAGGCATGCGGCTGAATTCAGATTGGTATACGTAGATCCACGACCTGAAGTATTCGAATGACGGGCAGCAGTTCCTTGTTCTGTCGGGAACGATGCAGGCCAAGCTGTACGACCGTGACGGAGAAGAGCTGTACGTCCCGCACTTTTTTTTACCCTGAATGGATAGTCTGACCTGACTGGCAGGGCCACTTTCGTAAAGGGTGATCCGTACATTCGGGACATGAAGAACACATCGTGAGCACAGAAGTCCCTGTTCATGCCGTAATTGAGATTAACCACCTCCTACGATAGCGGACATGTTGCCGAATTACGCTCTTGCGCTTGGCATCCGCACGACCCTCAAACGTTCATCACAAGTTCCGTTGATTCTACGATACGGTCTGTTGCCTGGTGTCTTCGGTTTGACGTTGATGATCTAACCGAAGTCAATGTAGGATATGGGACGTTGAGAACAAGCGGAAGCAGAAGACTGTGATTGTCGTGAAATCGAAGGAGCGAGGAGCCCGAACGAAGGTCACTTCTTGTGGGTACTCTCCTGATGGCAGTCTGATTGGAGGAGGTGCGTTGCCTGCCTTGTGTCAGGATCCCAAGCGATGTGACGCCGACTAACCATCTTGGTGCCTTCTCAGCTTGTCTAGACGGCGCTCTGCACATGTGGCAAACTAAATCAAATTTCGTGCGACCGAGCATGACAGTAGAGGCAGCTCATACCAAAAACACTGAACCTGGCTCTCTGGTTTTCTCTGTCGACGGCAGGACAGTGCTCACCAGGGGCGGCGATGACACAGTAAAGTGTGAGCAAGTCGAGCAGAGGTCTCTTAATTTAGATCTGACAGCGCCTAGTGTGGGATCTTCGGGCGTTCAAGAAACCCCTTGCAACGCGGTCTGACCTTACAACGCTGTATCCGACAACCAACGCAATCTTCAGCCCGGACGACAAGTATGTTGTGACAGGCGCCGCGGCGACCTCGAAGGGAGGAAAAGGTCGCTTGATGTTCTTGCGCAGGGACAACCTGGAGTCCGTGAAGGAGCTCGAGGTTGGCACAACGCCGGTGAAGGTTTTCTGGCACTCCAAGATCAATCAAGTACGTCTGCGGTGTGCGATCAATAATATGTGCTAACATGAAATGCTGCAGATTGTGACCGGACTAGCGAATGGCCAGATCTGTGTCCTGTATTCCCCTCATACTTCCATCAACGGCGCGAAACTGCCTCTCAACAAGGGGGCACCCAGGAAGGCGACGGTCGAAGATATGTCAGATGCAGTGTCCGCCCCGACCATCCTTACTCCGCACGCATTACCGATGTTCCGCGATGGAGATGGCATCGCGCGAGGCAGCAAGCGCAAGAGGGAGAAGGAGCGCATGGATCCCCGCAAGAGTCGGAGGCCCGAGTTGCCCGTCACTGGTCCTGGCCGTGGTGGACGTGTCGGTGCAAGTGCCACGCAACACGTCGTGCAGAATCTTGTGCGGGACACAACGAGAGATGAAGATGTGCGTGTTCCTATTCTGATCCTACCCGCTCCTTTTTGCGTCATTGGGCTATCATGCCTGGCCCGACTCCGTAATGGTCGGTTGAACGCTCTGGTCGCCCGCCGTCCAGTCACGCCAGCGGCAGGTCTTTGTTGACAGTCGTCGGACGCCCTTGGAGGGAGGTTTCTGTTCGTTCTCGCGTCGGCGCGCGAGGTGATTCGCCAGGCAGCCCGGCAGTTGCCGCTGCGACACGTTCACTGCGCGTTGCGACGGAACGAGTTGGCGGACTTACGGCGATTTCAAGCTCCGCTGATCCTCCATCCCTTTTCTACCGATGTTGGCAGTTGACTGACTTGTTTCTCCTCCTTCACACAGCCAAGAGAGGCATTGCTCAGGCTCGCAAACACAGACGAGAACCCGATGTGGACAGCTGGTAAGTTGGCCGCAAAACTTTCCTGGTCTTTGATGGAGCCGCTTGATCGCGTATTTGCGCATGTTTGGTACCGGCTATGTGCTGACGTGTGAACCTTATTCTTTTGCTCTCAGCCTGGCGCACAAATCAGCCCAAGCCCGTGTTCGCAAAGGCGGAAGAGGAGGAGCAGACGGAGGAAGACAAGGCATAGATAGCACGCAGTTTTTACGTAGAAGCGCGGAGAGAGGGCGGAGGAAGAGAAAGAGAGGGAGGAGGGCGATTCTGGAGGAGATGGCCCCTGCGCGGGAGATCGAACCTTATTTCGCAGCGCGTATAAAGACTCTAGCCCAACTTCGGATCTCCTGTTCCCCCAAATCCACCCTTGTCCCTTCGCCCTCCTGTCACTCTTCTGTGACTGTCACGCGTCGTCCCCTCTGCAAGACATGTCCGACGCGCTCCTCGCGAACGGCGTGAACAACATCAACGGCATCTCATCCCCTGAATCGGTCGCCGTCGACTCGCCGGCTACGCCCATTGACAATTCCACCACCACTGACATCAAAATCGATGTTGAATACACTGAACGTGAATCTGACGTGCGACATGAGCCAGTGGCCATGAAGTTAGACGTGAAGTCAGACACACCGGTCGAGGACGCGTCTGTACTTCCCCAGGTTGGCACACCTGTGGATCCAGGTGAGGTCAACATCATTAGCTCTTGTGCGAGATATCTCATCGTTCATCAGACACCATTCCTATCGAGCCCCCGAAGGGTACACCACCTCCCCCAAATGGTCAGCTCCTAGAGGACGTCCGGATGGCCGAGGAAGCATCGTCGAACACGGAAGGCGACGTGCAGATGGCGGACGGCGAGGCGCAGTCTCCGCTGCCCAACGGACTTTCTAACGGACACACAGCCGAGTCTCCTGCCCGGCCGCCCCTTCCTACTTCTGTACCCGCTGTATCGTCGGCCGAGACCGCTGTCGACTCGCTTGCTCCTGCTCCCTCTCCGTACCCTAATAATACAACTAGTGAACACGATGATCATGATAAGCCTCCTCCCGCTAAGCGAGCTAGGAAGTTGTCGGACGCTGAGAAAGCATCGGTCGCCAACGTAAGCACCCTGTCTCCTGTACGCCATTGCGGGCGTGCTGATGGCGTTGTCTGAAGACTGGTACTCCACCTCCAGCATCAGTCTCCCCCGAGCCGCAACCTGTTGCTGAATCTCAGGTTGCCCAGCAGATGCTCAGCGTTCCACAATGGCGCTTTGGCACGTCCACTATCCGCACCTTGAAAAAGCTCAAGGATGCTGGTCCATTCCTTGCGCCGGTCGATCCTGTCGCGCTGAACATTCCTCATTACCCTTCCATCGTCAAGCATCCTATGGATTTCTCGACTGTCGAACGCAAGATGGCGGCGTCGAACCCATCCAAGCCCGACCCTAACCCCTTGAATCCGCGCTATCATACCGCTAATGAGTTCATCACGGATGTCCGTCTCATTTTCGGCAACTGCGCGCTGTTCAACGGCCCTGATCATCCAATCACTGCTATGGGCAAACGCGTAGAGGCGGTGTTCGATAAGCAGATCAAACAGATGCCACCCCCTGAGGAGGTATGTTCCATCCATAACCTGACTATTCTCTTCTCATGAACTCATGCGAAAGCCGAAACCGGTTGTGAAGAAGGCCGCAACGCCGCCTCCACCGCCACCGCCACCGAAGAAGACTCCTGTTAGACGACCGTCAACGTCTGTCCCGGTGATACGGCGCACAGAGGATAGCACTGCTGGTGGGCGGCCAAAGCGGGAAATCCATCCTCCCCCGCCCAAGGACCTTCCCTACACTGACATCCCAAAGAAGACGAGGAGGGCGAAGGGACCGAAGAATGACATCTTTGCGGAGCAGTTCAAGTTCTGCGACAAGATCGTCAAGGAACTACATAAGAAGAGTTATTACACCATCGCCAGCCCTTTTTACGAGCCAGTCGGTAAGCATAATATCATCGCTTTGTTTAACGCCTCCGTGCTCATGAGAATGGTCTCAAGACTGGCTCAAGCTGGACATTCCCCAGTATCCGAAGGTCATAAAGAAGCCAATGGATCTGTCGACTATCAGACGGAAGCTACAGGAAGGCGAATATAATACTCCTGAAAAGTTCCGTGAAGACTTCAAGCTGATGATAAGGAACTCGATGACCTTCAATCCCCCGAAAAACCCAGTACATGAGGCAGGCAGAGAGCTCGATCGTCTCTTTGACGAGAAGTGGAGAGAACTTCCGCCGCTACGGTCGCATGCCGTTAGTGACGAGGAGGACGAGGAGGAGGATCTCGACAGTGAGGATGAGCGTCAACGTGCGTACCATCACTCGACGTTGACATGCTGTCTTTCATAATCGTTCTTCCTCAGGTATGATTGTTAGCATGGAAAATCAAATTCTGAACATGAAGAGCAATCTCGACTCGTTGAAGAGGAAAGCCGCGAAGCCGGAGAAGAAGGAGAAGAGGAAAGAAAAGAAGCCAGCTGTGCCCGTGGCGAGTACGTCCAAATCCACGACAAAGCAGCCCAAGACGGCGGCGAATGGACGGAAAAAAGCCAAAAAGTCAACAAATGATGATGATGTGTTGTCCTTTGATCAGAAGAAGGACTTGAGCGACACTATCGGAAAGTTGGACGGCGCGAAGCTGGAGAGGGTCATTCAGATCATTCATGAAGGAGTACCTGAGATTCGAGATGTGAGTTCCACGTCCCTCATTATATGATCTGAGATTGACTGGTTCCGCAGAGTACGGAGGAGATTGAGCTGGAGATCGATCAGCTTCCTGCGACTGTTCTTCTCAAGCTCTATAATTTCGTTATCCGGCCATTGCGAACAAGCGCCACAAAGCGTGCCCGTTCTGGTAAGGGGACAGGCACGGGCGGTCTGAAGCGCAAGAGCATGGACGAAGACGTTGAGGCGGCGAAGATCCGAGCTCTAGAGGAGCGCATCAAGCTCTTTGATCAGAACGATCACTCCCCAGGCCGAGCGAGCGATGCAGCACCTGTCGAGTACAGTGAGCATTCCTCGGCGGAATCCAGCTCGGAGAGTTCAGCGAGCGACTCGGAGTGATCTAATGAGCATGGACTTCTGTTAACCAACTTCTTCCGCTCGTTTTCGCTGTGTGTACTTCGTTCGATCGCCTCCGTGTCGGTCCATATACGCTTCTTCGATAGCACGTACGTACAAAATTACAGAACTTCCCAGCAAATGTAGCTACTTAGTATACTATTTCGATGTCTTATCTTGTGCCTCATAGAGCGGTACGCGGGTGTGCTAATTCATTGTGTGTACGAACAAGAATCTGTCTGACCAGATAAAAGACGGGACTTATCTACGTCGGCCAGGCCCTGATGCCTTGAACTGCTGCCAACCTGATCGCGCAGCCTCCTGACGGGGACGTGGAGGCACTGCTGGCTGTGCGACTGCAGTAGAGGGTGTCGACGCGGCCGCAGGAAGAATCTGAGGTGCTGAGACTCGTGCCCATCCGCCCTGAGAAGGCGCAGATGCCACTGACTGACCGCCTAAGCTTAGTGGCGGATTTGCTGGAGGCGTAGACGACAGCTGCCCTGATGTCAGAGGCAGAGGCGGGACGCACGCGGGAGGCTCAGGCGGTCGAGAGGATGCAGGTGGCAGCGGCTGGGTACTTCCCGTATCAAGAGATGTCCAACCCCCCGTTCTGAAAGCTGGCGCAGGGCCAGACGATGGTTGAGATCCTGCAGGCCTGCTCGTACTTTCGGTAGAAGGCGGGGCAGGCGTGGAACTTGTTGCCATACTGCATACCGTGGCCCAACCGGAACTTTTTGGGATGGCTGATGGTGCTGGCGCAGCGATGTCTGCCACAGCTGTCGATGAAGCTGTAGGAGGTATCGATGCCCACCCAGGCCTCTTGAAGCCACTTGGCTTAGCCTCATCCTCACCGCCTATCGGAGCTGCAATGGAGGACGTCACCACGGCAGGTGTCGCAGGCTTCGACATCTTGACGCCTGCCGCTTTCGCAATCTTCCGCAGTTCTTTCTCCTCCCTCTTTCTCTCTTTTTCCTTCCGCTTGTCCACCTCTTCCTTGGTATTCCGACTGGCCCGCTGCGCAGCTTGCATATCTCGGAAACGAGCCTTGTGATGGTGTGCATATGAATTCGTGTGCTCGTCGTATTGCGCGACGTTCCGGAATTGCTTGTCACAGAGCTCGCAGTAGAAGGCGCGAAGAGTGGACGATATCTCGGACTGCAAGGCCACACGTCTTGCCACTGTGTCCTAAATGAGTCAACGTGCCAATGAGACTCTGCCTTACGCTCAGCGCATCACGAGCACTTACTTCCCTCGCCTTGCGCTGCTCTTCCGTTTCTTTGATTTGACGCTCGGAGTCAAGCTCGCGACGCTGAGCCACAGTCGACTCGACTGTGCTGCTGATTAGCTGCCGCAACATGCCAATTCCACGGTACTTACTCATTTCTACATCTTGACTCGTTTTACCGAGGCCCGTCAGATCATTCTTTACATAGAATGGAACTGGATCCACACGGCCTAGATAAGCAAGCGTCAGCGACGATGCTTGGGCGGCAAATACATACACACCGTCGCCGGACAAGCCCAAAGGTTGTCCTTCGACCCAGCCCATACCCGCAAGCATTAGAAAGCCCTTGTTGGTGCTCTTGATTTTCGTTTCAACTGTGATGGTCTCTCGCAGAGGTCTCTTGACAAACTCGTCGTACTTGTCGATGTTCATCGGGTCAACCTGACGAGGGTCGGGTGAAGGAGATCGAGAGACCAAAGACATGTTGTCGTCGTCTTCGTTATCATTCATCTTGGCGTCATCATCAGGCCTTGATCGCTGGACATGAGCAGGAGGGAAAGCAGCATGCAGCAAGTATCCACGGGTGCTAGAAATGCACAACGAGTACCTTCAAGGCATGCTGGGAATTATCATCTACTTCACCCTCCGGGAGAGTGAGAGGAATTGAGTTCCAGCGTATTATAGATTCGGCGGACATCGCTGCTGGTGGGATGCTGAGGATGGCAGGGAACTGGTAAGACGTGAGACCGGAAGACCTGCCCTTAAAGGTATCCGACAGCTTAGGTGACCATCAGGATCACGTGAGCAATTGTCAAGAGGCGCGTCCGCGTCGCGCGTTGTTCAGCCAGTGGCTAGATCTCTTTCGCCATCTTCCGACCTTCTATCAAACCCGGCATGAGTTCCGACGAGTACTTCGACGATGAACTAGACTCTGCATTCCTCCAGGAAGTTGATGCCATTGAGGCAGCCAATACCTCCTATTCTGCACCAGCTCGAATGGCGAAACACGCCAATAAACTAGTTCTGCCACACGATGTGATTGTGCTTAGCGACTCGGATTCTTTCACTGCCGTAGATTCCGGCACCGCGGACCCTGAGAGCGTTGCACAGACTCGTGGTGGTAACGACAGGCACGATGCCCAGCCCATTGCCGGTTCAAGTGCAGTTCATCGCACATCATCGAAAGGACGACTTCAGACTACCTTGTTTGGCGACGTGCTTCAGAAGAATGCCTCCAAAAGCAAGATTCACAATAAGCCGGTCTCGAAAGCCCCCGTAGAGCGCAGTCATTCTGGTAATAGGCATCAGGTCGGTGGACGAACAAAGAAAACAAAGCAATGGGACCATACCGCTTTTGCGAAGTCCGGTTGGAGGCAGTCAGCTGCTGAGAAGAAGAGAAAGGCCAAATCGAAGTTATTCTGTAACGAGGAGGAGGAGGAGGATGGCGGAGAGGAAGAACCGGTGGAATTCGAACAGTTCCCTGCTCCTGTTCATCAAACTGGGTGAGCTGATGCTGTTTCCTTGTGCTATCGAGGGTATTTCATGTTGACGTGCTTTCAAAACCGCTCTCAGACCTGTAAGTCTACCGCTGATACTACCCTTTCTGATGTATCCGGCTCATGATGCTACAGCTTCCTCCTATGAAGACTAAACCGGATCTCCTCGCTGGCAAGCGATGGCTGTATCCCCTAAACCATCCCAAACGCGACTATCAATTCAACATAGTCAAACGCTGCCTCTTCGACAATACGTTAGTAGCGCTGCCTACAGGAATGGGGAAGACGTTCATTGCCGGTGTCGTCATGCTGAACTGTGAGTATTTTCATCCTCCTGACGCACCCCAAATCGCCAACTCTCCTGTATAGTTTTCAACTGGTTTCCAGAAGGGAAAGTGGTCTTTCTTGCACCGTCAAAGCCACTCGTCGCCCAGCAGATTGAAGCATGCCATAAGTCATGCGGTATTCCCGGAAGTCAGGCTGCTGAACTCACTGGTGAAACACCGAAGGCGAAGCGTCTCAAGCTGGTATGTTCCCATAATATGCTTCGCCTCTCTATTCTGAGTTCGTATGCGCACAGTGGGAAGCGAAGCGTGTCTTCTATATGACGCCACAGACTCTCCTCAGCGATCTTATTACAAGCAATTGCGATCCACAGGACATAGTCCTCATTGTCATAGGTAAGCTTATCTATAGACTGTCCGACAGTCATCTCAATCTTCTCTCAAGATGAAGCGCACAAGGGCACCGGTGACTATGCATATGCTCAAGTGTTGCGCTTTATGATGGCGAAGAATCCGCACTTCCGAGTACTAGCCCTTACGGCGACGCCGGGCGGCGATCCCGAAGCCGTGCAGGAGATCATCGACCGCCTGCACATCAGCCACATTGAGATCCGCGACGAGGAGAGTCTCGATCTGCGCCGGTACATGCATACGAAAGCCCTCGAGCAGCACATCGTCGCGATGAGCGAAGATGTGATCAAGATCAGAGACCTGCTCGCGAAGGTCATGCAGGTAGGGTGGTTGTATGCTGTTATAGCCCTCCGCTCATTCACCCCCTGTACAGCCTATGATTAAGCAGATTCAGAATGCTGGTGCCATGATGGGCTCGTCGGATCCAGTGACGTTGCATTCTTTCCGGTGTCAGAAGGCCATAGGAGAGCTTCACACCAGGAAAGCGAACTTTCTCATGGGAACTGCTAGCAAGCTCGGAGCTCTAGCCAGAGCTATGGGATATCTGGTAATTTATCCTGCACACGTGACAGCACCGTTGCTGAGATTTCATTTTTGTAGCTGGAAGCGAGCACCAACATGTGCTACTCGACATTGAACGGGATCTTTCTAAGCGGTGAAGAACCGAATGGAACGAAAGGGCCCACAAACGCTCAGAAGGCTCTACAGAATAACCCTGCATTTCAAGCTGTGATGAAAGAGATCGAAGCTCAGCGGAATCGCGGATTTTCAGTGCATCCGAAGATGGATAAACTACGAGTGCTTCTTGTGCAATACTTTGCGACCAAGATGTTGGACGAGGAGGAGACTGCTGCAGGCGATCCTCCGGCTCCTGACCGCACGGATGAGTCGCGAGTCATGGTATTCGTGTCGTTCAGGGAATGTGTTGACGAGGTCGTAAAATTCCTCAACCGAGAGAATCCTCTGATTAGAGCGACACGCTTCATCGGACAAGGCACTGACAAGCAAGGAAAAAAAGGTATAGCACAGCGGGAGCAACTCGAGGTCAATCTGATGTCGCTCTATGTCGATTGGTGCTTACAGGATGCAACCTAGGTCATCAAGAAATTCAAGTCAGGCGAGTTCAATGTCCTGGTAGCAACCTCGATCGGAGAAGAAGGCTTGGATATCGGTGAGGTGGACATGATTGTCTGTTATGATGCGCAGAAGACTCCGATCAGGATGGTATGAGTCTCGCTCGTGCTAGACGACATGACATTCACGATGGCCACCTTGTCAGCTGCAACGTATCGGCAGAACGGGTCGCAAGCGCGATGGCGTCGTTCATGTGCTACTTGCCCAGGGCCGAGAAGAGCGCAATTGGGACAAGGCGAACGACAAGTATAAGAACGTGCAGCACTTCATTGTACGTGCCGAAGAGCTTGAGCTGTACGACGATGTGGAGCGACTTCTGCCAGACCACATCAAACCGGAGTGTTCTGAGCTTTTCATGGAGATTGAAGAATACGTGCGCGAGGACCAGGGCTCAAGGAAAGGCTCACGTGTTGACGATGATGGCTCCCAGCTCCCGAAGAGCAAGAAGCGCAAGAGGGATGACAATCCACTTCGTAATGTTCCGGAAGGCGCGTGCGCTGGCTTCGTAACTGTCAAGGACCTCCTAGTCAAAGATGGTGCCAAGAAGAAGCGTAAGGCCTCACCGGAGTTCGACGTACTAGCTGGTGAGGACGACGAGGATGATCTGGAGATTGAAGCAGGCGTATTTGTCCCTCCTCGTAGAACTGTCTCAACGTCGGCAGTCTCTACGGAGCCTAAGACGAAGAAACTGAGAAGGGCGAAGACTATTGCTGCTGGTGGCGGTGACAACGAGAAGCCAAGGCCAAGGAAGTCGAAGGCCAAGCAGGTCGCTCTGCCAACAAGTAGCGACTTCGAGAGGATGGGAGTTGACGATGATGATGACAAGGAGATAGAGAAGGGACTCGATTTGTTGAAGAAGTGTTCAAGAGTAAAGTCACCGTCATTGTCGCCATCCCGTCAGAAGACGAAACGAGAGCCGACAACCAAGGCAAATGACGATGTCATCGACCTCATTACTCCTGCTCACTCTTTCCGTGAGCATTCGGCCACCCCATCGTTAAGCTCTTCTCCTGCTCGATGGCCTAAGCCAAGAGCTGGAAGCATCGCGAGCGATGCCGAGGAAGCCCGCAAAAGCCCGTCGGTGATTGTCCTGAGCTCTTCTCCTGATCTTCCTCTCAGGTCCCGCAGCGGGAGTGCTTCCAGCGGCCACAAGCCACAGACTACCGCTGAGAAGCCGCGGTCAAGACAGCGTTCTTTAAGCCCCCCGTCCTCACAGGGTCAGGCGGGGGGAAGTATGGCATGGCTTATAGATGACGATGACGACCCAGACGTCCAGCTCGAACATTCCTCGCCGCTTCCTCGTGGCGAAGTTCTGCTCCAAGAAGAGACTTCGGAGGACGACATTGACCTGCTAAGCAGACTTGATGTCCGCTCTTCACGCTCAACTTCTCAGACTGCAAGCCTCCATGCCAAATCGAAGAGTAAAGTCGCCCACGGGAAGGCGCTCGCAGCCGGACAAATGTTACCGCCCGCATTGCCCGCTCGTTTTGCGGAACCATCTTCCTCACCTTCTGATGAAGCATTACCGCCGGCAACGTTTGCCGTCCGCGCACCAGGGAAGACAGCAAAGAAACGAGTTGTGGCCGTTGACTCGTCACCCCTAGCAACGCCCCCACCATCTCAACGACGCTTACAGCGTGAGCAATGCTCTCCATCACCACCTTCCCGCAGAGGCAACGCTGCTAAACCTAGGAAGCGACAATTCAAGAATCTCGCAGAAGCGCAGAAACGTAACCCTTGGATCGACGTGGAAGCATCTCATTCGGGCGACGAGCGTAGCGTAGGGTCCTCAGGTCCTGAACATTCTGGTGATGAATATGAGAAGGACTTTGTAACGGGATCCCCAGCAACGCAAGCCTCGCCGTCATACGATCAGAGTGCCGTTTATCGGCGGAGTCTGTTCACGCAAGCCCCGGGAGGTGCAGCTAAGAACCCTATCTTTGCTGATCATCCTGCGAGACCAGGCCGGGGTTCTCGTGCCCGTAATGATTTCTCAAGTGCACGGCATGTCTTGTCCAGTTCCCCGCCGCTTGAAGATGAAGATGACGACTATATGCTAGGCAGTTTCATCGTGGACGACGACGCAGAGATCTCGTTTTCTGCTTCTGCCTCCAGTGACTTGTAGCATCGCACAGCAGATCGTCTCCCATGGACGGTGTTCCGGTGGTGATCATTACAGCTCTTCTTTGCTAGCTGAAGCAAGCTCGCGGAAGATAATCGTATAACATGATGATAGTACAGCTATAGTACACCCGTATATTTACAGAATTTCTGCAATCCGTGTGGGCCGATTGCGAAAGCCCCAGTAGATCACAGGTGGATGATACACGTAGCAATATTCTCAGTACCACGCACGGACCTACGTCGCCTTCTATAGTAGAAGACGCTCTTCTGCGAACTGTGGACAAGAACATTCCTTCCAAGTGGCTGCACATAGATAACAAAATTGCTTCTTACATATGCATTGCATGTGGTAACATCCAAGCACTAGCTCGACCAGGTGACGACAACCAGGGCATCGCTGCCACTGACGCTCCTTCGCTAATGCGAGTACAGCTTCATTCAGATGTGAAGAACAGGGTCGGGTTTCATGGGCCTCCTCCTTGCAGGCGCTGCACGTCTCGGCCCGACATTGAGGACAACGTAATGACGAGGGACGGGAAGTCGCGCCTCCAAGAAACGTGGAGCAAGTGAGTCGGTAGCAGTACACCCGGTCGGTCGTGGTGAATTCCAAAGACTTTCGCTGGAAGCGCTCAACAAGACTGTCATCTAAAAGCTGCCGAACAGAGTCGAGTGGGATTGCAGCCTGGCAGCAAGAAGGTGGAAACGCTGATTCATCGACCGTGGCCATTCGAAACATTGTGTTCAGACAATCATCGTCGTAAGAATGCCCACAGGATAGCTGAATAGAGAAATCACTGTCGGCGTATTCGCTGCAAGCGGTACATTGACGTTGGATGCTTTTCAGGCACGATTAGACGGGCTGAAGATGTGAATCAGAAATGGGCTTACATTTCCACTGGTTCAATGGCCGGGGATGGTTCGCTAGGTACCTGAGAGATAGTCGGTTCTTCTGTAGTTTCAGTGACCACATTCTCCCTATGAACCGTTATTTGTAAACACGACTATCTATCTGCAGAAGTTGGTGAAGCATACTCAGGCGGTGGAGTTGCTTCGGCATGAGATACGGCGGAAGCGTTGATTGTGGCCCGCACAGGGCGTGGAGGTGGGTCACGGCCCTCTGATAGTGCAATAGCCATCTCTCTGTCGTACCGCGCCATGTCCTCCATGACCACCAATTGATCCAACAATGTCGTCACATCATCCACAACGCCTGATGGAGCAGCCGAGACGTGGTCTTTCACGATATTTAGCAGACCTTGAGCCTCTTCAGCGAAGACCAACAAAGCGAGCTCCTCGTCATTAAGGGCGTCTCCTGATCCAGTGGCGTTACGCGACAGGAGGTCGTCAATGTCGTCTAGACCGAGCTGTGAGATATAGCTGAGGAGATCTGTGAGTTCGTCATTGCGAGTATCTGTCGCGGTCGTTGCCATTGTCGAAGGCGGAAAGCGCGGTTAGGATAGAGCATGTATCCTTGCGAGTTTATGTAGCAGATGCCAGGACACGTAAACCGAGAGGGCAGAATCTGTTTATCAAGCGCGGCATGAGGTGGAGGGGCTCCTGCCACGCCGGTCCCACGATGCGATGCCGAGGTTATTCTGACGCTGTCATCAGTGTAGGCAGATACATCCAAAGTCACGGATAATGGACTCGCTGCGCATATTGACTCAATGAATTCCTTTACCTTTCTCACCGTAAGAGTCGGTATTTCCTTTGCAATGCGGGTCGTGGAAAAGCAGCATTGAGCCGAGCGCTCAACCGGTAGCACAGCCATCTATTATCCTGGGTAGATTCGACAATTCCGTCGAACCTCCGGAAATCCTTATCTGAAATGAGTGAATTGCTCGAGCGTACATGTCTTTGACGTTCGGAACAAGCTCTCTAGGTATACAACACACGCGAACGTGCCCTTTGGCATCAAAATCTACGACATTCGGGCCAGATCAGAGACAGACGCAACACATTTGCATTACAACCTGTTGCGGCGACATCGCACGCACACGTTCAGACGACAATGCCGACAGCTCTGTCGACGGCATGTGAATGCGGATGAAACACATCGAGTAGTGCTAAACTCACCAGCAAGAACACGCCCAAATAGTGGGAGCACTGCTCGCATTGGCCACCTCCAGGCCGATACCTCCAAACGTGTTGGCAATCATGGTCAACACGCAGGCGCTCTGCCGCATGCGCTACCATCCGTCTGTACTGCGCTGGAGCAGGCGGCGGGCCCGCAGGAAGCTCTCTTTGAACCCGATCCTCTGCCGTCGTCAACAATCGTGCCTCGTCCCACTGTGGGCAGTTGCATGTCTTCCATGTCTCTGTGCAAACATAGCAGAACTGTCTCCTGCACCGGAACGTCATATGATAGCAGCCTTGAGTTAGCTCCACGAGGTGGCGGCATCCGGGGCAACGCTTCCATCCTTCTTTCTCAGCGAGAGCGAGAATGGGAGTGTCGTCAACAGAGCAAAAGCTCGCAGGGTGTGCCACTTCTTTGCAACGACCGCATGCTTGCTCCCAGCACGTGCAGCCATGGATCTTGAACCGCAACCACCATCTGCGTCGGCAAGCGCCCGGGGGTCATCCCCTGCGCCCTCTGCATCTCTTGATGATTTTTCTGACCTGACCCCCTCTCTTACACTGGCGATACGCCAGGCTCTCCGACCTTGGTCGGCTCAGGGTCCCGCTGATTTACTCGCGGATCTCGACTCTGTCATTGACGCAGTTTTTGCGGTACAGAAGGCCACCCGACGAGTGTTGGTGCTGGCGGCTGGGCGCTGCAAGCACAAGCACCTTCCTCCTCTAATGTCCGAACGCCTCCAATCAGCCCTCAAACTTTTCAGCCCGGCATCGGCCTCCCAAGCGGTGGTCGAGCCCCCGCCTCAGCCCGCCTCTCCGACCACCGGACCCGCCCTCACGGTGGCTCTCCAGGACCTTCGCGCCGCCTTCGACGCCAGGCTTGATGCCTTGGAGACTCGAATGGTGACTGCGACCCCCCCGTCGCAGGCGATGGCCCCCCCTCCTCCCCAACATCAGGTACGTGGCACTCCGAAGAAGCGCTCGTACGCGGCTGCAGCCGCTAAACCTCGTCCGGCTCCTCCCGTGACGACTCCGAACCCGCCCGCTACCCCGAAGGCTCCTAAGCCCAAGCAGGTTGCAGAGCCCTTGCGGTACGTGGTTCGATTTACTGGCTCCGCGCCAGTCCACTTGCTTCAGACTCCCCCTGCCCAACTGGTCAGTGATGTGAACGCAGCACTGGCTGCGATTCCAACTGCTGGAGGAATGGCTGCGCTTGCGGTCTATCCGAGCTCCTCTGGCAACATCGTCCTGGCCTTCCCTCCTGCCACCTCCTACCGCCACGTTGACGAACATCTCCCGACCCTCCGTGCTGCCCTCAAGCTCGACCCGGATCACCATGTCTCCAGGGACGTCAAGTGGTCTCGGATTCTCATCGGCAATGTCAGCACCCGGGCAGCCCCTGGCAGCGCTGTCCACTCGACGTCGACCCTGTTGACCGAGCTCGTCAAGAATCCTGCGCTTGTGCACCTTCGCCTCACCCAACCTCCGCGATGGGCACGTCGACCTGAGCAAATCGACGGTGCTCGCTCGTCCGTCGTCCTCGGATTCGAAGACCCGGATGGCTCCATCCTCACCGCCCTCCTTCAGACCCCCCTATTCGCTTTCGGTACTCCCGTCACCACCTCGCGCTGGCGTGATAAGCCGCGCCTCCGACAGTGTACGAGGTGCTGGGGTTATGGCCACCTCGTTGCAGGATGCACGAAGCCGCCCCGGTGCCGTGTCTGTGCTGGCCGCCATCTTGAATCGGTGCACCGCGCTCGGTGCGCCATGTGCGCGAAGGAGAATCGCGCCGCCTCCGACCCCTGCGCTCATGCGCGCTGCGTGAACTGCCGTGGTCTCCACCACGCCGACTCCGACCAGTGCCCCAAACGCACCTCTTTCCGGAGCGCTGGCCCCGCTCCGACCTCTTCTCTCGAGCGACCCGTGCTGCCCGCTGCTGGCGACTCTGATGTTGCCATGTAGGGGCGAGTGCGACTCCATTTCCACCACGTTCCTTTCTTTCTCATTTCTAGCGCCCCCCGTCCGCTCCCCTCCGTCACCACAAGGCATGCCCGCACCGAATACGGGGTCAACATGCCGGCGTAGCAACACTTAAATGCAGGGGATCAGTTTTTATCCAGCCTGCTGCGTGGTAGGGTTCGCCGCGCGTCACCCATTCATTCTGTCGATTCCCTCTGTTCTTTCCCTCCGCCCCGACATCTCTTTGGCTGCCAACTCACTCCGCCCTTCAGCCCGCCGTCGTGCAATTCACTAACCCTGGTCCAGCCGGCTTCCCCTCAATGTTCAACTGGTCACCATGCCCCGCACGCCACTTTGCCTCTGCGGTGAACGAGGACTGTTTGGTGGGAGTATCTTGGGGGTTCGATTCCCCTTAAACAGTGTTTCTAACGAGTCAACGAACTGACCGCGGCACGGTTTTCGAGTTTGGTCAGGCATATGCATTTTGTTAGGTTATCGGCGCTTGCGTGGTCCATGACACAGCTTACCGGGCTTC